TTCTGTGGAAATCAATGAAAAAACTTTTGCTGAATCTCTCTCCAGATCCCTTACACTTAAACTCTTAATGTTTGGCATTCATTTCCTGAAACATAACACAGCAATTATCATTTAGAAAGAGGAAGGTCGGACTTACAACTCTAAATTAAAACAAGGGTAGATACTTGCCATGTGTTGGGTAGACATGCCTTCAAATGAAGTAGAAGGTCAGGCAGTTAACACCTTGTATGGTTCTTGCTGAAAGTGTTCAATTTGGAGAAAAGAAAATGAAAATGTGATGCTGGTTCATAAATGTGCAACATTTTTTCGGGTTCTGGAAATCTTATTCTTCCTGAGTTATAACCCTACCTCACTTTATCTTTGGAAGGTATTCCTGATTGCTCTGAAGGGAGAAGGTAAATGACTTGCCTAGGTTTCACCAGTCTGCTACACTGAATGTTTCCTATGGAAGTTATTCTAAGTATACTACATTCCCATGTTACAACTTCAGTCGGGGTTGGCCCACCTGTTTGAGAAGGATTGAACTGGAAAACTGGGCTCTGACAACCTTGAGTTTTAGCCCAGTCAGTACTAAGCGTCCCAGCCCATTCCCAGAAATTTCTTATTTGAGGTCTTAGCTCCACAGCATGATGAGAATCCCTCCTAAATCTTTGTGATGTTTGAGAACAATCATGCCAGGGTAGAAAGTGAGCTATATCCCCTCCAGAGGCTGTCATAGTCCACATTGTAACATTTTTGAGTTATAGTCAGTTCTTTCGAGTGGGATACATCTAAAATTGTTTTAAAAATAAAAGTTAATTTGAGGTAATCAACAACTGGGACTCAGAGAAAAGCAAAAACCAGGGCATAGGAGAAAACCATCCAAAACAATAACTCCCCATACTGAGGCAAACAGGATATTTGGATAAGAATCCTGAAAAATGAATTCCTTAGTGCAAAAAGAGCTTCAGATAAGTAGTTTTCCCACCTCTAAAGATTTCATCCATTTCTGAATTATGAAGAATCTGAAAAGTGCTGCTTCTTTAACAGTGACATAGCCAATGACATGAGCGTGAAAAGGAAGGTTTGGGGTTGTTGGATTTGTCTCTGGTTTTCTTATTGTAACATAAACTGCATCGATCAATCAAAAGATCTCAACATCCTGTTGACATCAGCAATGGTGAGGGATTGGCTTTCAACAATGGCAAAATTGTGTGGTCCTCCTAAAAACATTTATCCTTGGTAAGTGACACTCAAAGATATTTCCAATTTGTGAAATATTTCACCAAAAATCTAGAATTCAAAAAATTAAAATGAAAAGTTTTGAAACAGCCATTATAGGTTTTGATTTTGATACTGCTTTTTCAAAGAGCTGCAGCACCTGTTGACACCTTTCAATGCCTGAAACCTTTCAGCTTTCAGTTGTTGCCTTTCTTATTTTCTTTTACTATGGACAAAAATTTTGGCATTTTTTTAGATCAGGTCTACCTTGAGTGTCACTGGAATAGAGCAAGATACTACTGAGATGGGCAAGCAAGCATGGACTGGGTTCATGATTCAGGTGGCAATCTAACACAAAATCATGAAGTAAAATTTCAGCTAAAAAATTTCAGTAAAATTTCACTTCCTCATTGATACAAAGACAGGCAGACAGCAAATTTATCACCAGTATCTGAGGCTTGCTCACTCTATGAGCTGATACGCCTGACATTTAGTAAATGACTCCCTGTAAGCAAATAAGGGTGTCAAAGGGTCATTTTCCTTACTAGTTACCAAAATTTTCACTACCAGAGTCACACTTTTGATGATATATTGAACATATTTGGAGAAAGAGGAAAAGAAGAGAAGAACAACTAACAAAAAATACATTTTAAATTAAAATAACCTTAAAATATTTTCAAATATGTTTTCATTTTGACCAGCTTTAACCACTGACCAATAATTGAGCATAAAAGCCTGGATGACTGCACATTTTTATGCTATGTCCTCTTGAAGAAAAATATGGCAATTTCGACATACATTACTCCCACATTGCATTATTTCTGACCCATCACATTCCATTTTGCAAATCAGTGAAAATTATTTTAAAATCTGCTAACTATAGTGTGCATTCTATTAATACATGTTTCAGTGTATCTGTACCTTTGAAAGACATTTTTCTCCTAAGGTAAAGACTAGGTATTGCATGTTTAAGTATGCAAAGTAAAAAGATTTAAGCAAATTGGAAGTTGCTTAAATGGCACAACTCAAATTAGTGCAGTTTACTGCTTTATGTTATTGCTTTTAATGTGAAGGCTGTGCAATGGAAGAGCATGCCACATTCTCCAATACAAATAACTGTTCCATCAAAACAGAGCTCCTCGGTGATCTTTTTTATTTCTCCAAATCCGTAGTGGATAAAATGATTGCGTGAAGTGGAATTGTGAAAAGGTTGGTCTTGGGTAATAGGAGAGATAACAACAGGATTACTACATTATTGCTTCGGAAAGCTTTCCCTAAGCACAGAGAAGCCTGCCCAGGCTGTGGAAGCCTAGCTAAGGAATGTAAAGATCTGTGAGGTTTGTCTGAGGCTGAGGCCACCTCTCTTGGTGGAGTGGGGAAAGAGCGCGGGCCGGGAGGGGAAGGCCTCTTCGTCACTCATTTCCACTTCCACATCACTCAAGAGAAAACTCCGTAACAGGGTCCTGGGAGTTTGCTCAGGCAGCGGCACCTGAAGGGTTCTCGTACCCGGCACTTTCATGCCAAATCCAAAAGTAGTTATTCAATAAAATAAAATAACAGTACTTCAAATATGTGAACCTCTCAGAGTGATTTACTGTTTGGAAGGTGACCTGTTCTAAGTTAGACACTGCTCCTCAGCTAAGTTCAGACATCTAAAAATTGGCCTCTGTGGGTGCCTTCCTTAGGCCATGGGGTAAAACAGCTCCTTCCGTTGGACAACAGATTTCACTTATCTTCAGCAGCTGCCTCAGGATGCAGTCCCAGCAGGAAAAAAAAAATTTTATTTCTCTTCATTGACCAAAAAAGGCCCTTAGGACTAGTTTCATTTTAGACTAACTTGCACATAGCAGGAGCTTCAGCCAGGGGATCCATCTCGCTCTACACACAGGAAGAAGCTACAGAGGTAGCCTCCCGCCTCGTCGAGCTGATCTATTCCATCCCGTCCAGCGCTGAGGTAGAAATAAATATTTATCTGTGGGTCTACAGCCTGCAGAACGTTTTATAATTTGGTAGCTGAGAAGAAGGTTAGGTTCATGCAAATTAAGTATTTTCCTTTTAGATTTGTTTTGCTTCATTCTGACCTGAGGAAGGAAGTGAAAATTTTCCTATAATTTGAGTCTCCCGCGAGATTGTGCTCTCTCCTCAGTTGGGATGGGACATGGCAAAACAGAGCTGAGAGTGAGGGATTTACAGGCTGGGGAGGGGAAGAGGCTGAGCAGAAGCAACAGGACTTGAAGAAGAAAAGCACAGGATCTATAGAAGAGATATACAGTTCAGGACAGGAGGAACATAATGCAAGATACTGAGCTGGGTTCAGTTCTCCTTTATAGCCAAACAACTTTATTAAAGCATATCGCTGAATTCAATACGCTGCACAGCTGCAGCCAGTAGTGAAAATTTTTCCCCCTAAAGGGAAGGAAAAAAGTCCGAAACAAGAGAATAATCTAGTCTGACTGAATATGCAACTGCTTGTATTTGTTATATACATTGGAAATAAAAAGAGAAAGGCTTATCATTTATGATGAGGGAAAAAGATACTAATTCTCCCAGTCCTCCCATGATAATTAGTTTGCACTACTTACATGTGAAAACTGGATTGCCAGTACAAAAAACTATGCAGAGATGAAGTAGGTGATAGGGGTAAAGAGGGACGATAGTATTCAAACAACTATCATTTGCTTGGATAATAGCTACCTGCAAACTGTAAAAGTTTAGTAATCCTGGAGAAGAAAAAAGACAATTATACAATGAACCGAGCTCCACTGGTACTGTGAAAAATGGAGACTTTCTGCATAACAGCTAAAGATTTAGACATTAATTTGAAGAGTGCAGCACAAATATTGATCTCCCTGAGAAACTGGCATTTTGAGAAAGTTGAATAAAGTGTTGTTTGCAGATGAGCTCAGATAATTTCGTTTCTCAGATACAGCTTTGTCTCAAAGTGCAGTACCTGTGAGAAGAGTGAAAAGAATACAAAAAAAATCAGAAAGGAGAAAGTTGTAGAGGTGAGGAAGAGAAGAGCTAGAATTAGATGAGCAAGAGCAGCAGAACTGGAGTGAAGATTAGGAGAAAGAAGAGATGTTTGAAAAGCACAGAGTGAAAAAATATGAAAATGGAGAAGTAGACACAAGGGCTGAGGAATGAGATTGAAAACTGCAGAGAAAAAAATCTGAGAAAGGAGGAGAGAGGAAGTAGGTGACATAAAACTAAACGTAGGTGCACATAGGGACAATATCAGACCATGAGAAATCATTGAAAGGAAAGAAAGAAGAAAGAGGGAGTATTCAGAAAAGAATATATGAAAGAAAAGAGTATATGCTTAAAACAAAAACAAAATTATTAAAATGATCCATGTTTTTAGGAATATAAGAAAAATGGAGGGACAGAGGAGTAGGAAGGAAAGGGAATTGAAGAAGGGGAACAGGAAAGAGTTATTCTGGAATTACTTTGCAGAAAACTGGGTGCTAAAACTTGATATGAAAAGTACGTGTAAATATGCATATTTTTGAAATGAATCTATCACATTGCGCTTGCAGGCTCAAATCCTGCGGTCTCACTGTAAAATCTTAAGTGTATTACTGGGGAAGGCTACAGTTCTGCAGTGCTGAATATCCCTTGTCTTATACGAATATTTCCTAGGACCATGTGATTCTTACCAGCAATACCCGGGAACCCCATATGGCACTGCCTGCATTGCACAGAGGTTAACTGTATACGAAATGGCCATAATCCAGAGCCTACATCAAGACAGAGACACGCATGCCGTGATGCTGTGTTGGCGTTACGCCCGCTAACCTTACCCATACTTGTTGCCATGCCTCACTTTAATTTAGGGAACAGGTGGCTTCACTGTTAGTAGGCACCACTGGTGAACGGGAGATGATCTAAAGAGACAAGAAAAGAAACCATGAAGGGAATGAATTTTAAATGGTGTGAAATAATCCGGAAACCTCAACAGGGGGTTTATACTCATCTTTGTTACCTCTTGGGTGAAAACAGTCGGTGGTTTTACGCTAGCAAGCACAGTGCTTTATATTTCTTAGGGAAAGGTGTACAGAACAACTGTGCATCCCGTTTTTTAAAAAGTTAATATAGGTCCCAATTTAATTAGCATGAAATGTGTTGCAATTGTTATTCTGCAATTCCTTCATGCTCTAACTATACAGTTTTTAAGCTCTTCATGACACAAATACTTTCCATTAAATGTTGTCTAAAACGTACACAGAGAGTATGAGAGAGTTATTGGCGTTTTGGAGTGACAACCCTAATTGTTTGGGGGTTGGCCTCCACATAAATAACTAGATCTCTTACTCCCTTTTTTGTCCATGTTTTCTTTCTTAGGAAGAGAACCCTTCCCTTTCAGTTAAGCCCCCATTTAAAAAAATGATGACTATCCTTAGTATTCACTCAGATATGTGCGCTAACACAAGCTACAGTGAATATTGATGTTTTGGTGTAAGCTTGAGCTGAACTCTGGCACACAGTCCGTTCTGCTTCATGTTCCAAAACGCCACGAAAGATAAGAAAATTACAGCTGAGTTACCAAATAACAGATCCGCTATTTTAATACCCAAGATTCTGTCGTCAGCACGTCTACCTCCAAAACTTTGTATATATCCACTTTCCAGGATACAGACGGGTATTTCTCTTACAATTTACCCTAGTTTCAAGCACAGAGAAAAGATTATATATGCTGGATATTCATACAGTTTTGCAGGCTTACTAAATGGTGTGCGAGTTTTTCAAGATCTCTATTTCTAGTAAGAAGAATGTGCAAAACCAAACAGCCAAACTTCAGAAGTAACTGCACCATACATTATTTCCTATGTAAGGTACCAGTTAGTGCCTGTGCAGACAAAAATACTAGTTTTGTTAAAAAAGCGTATTCCTTCTTTTCAACAGAAGGGAGTCTGTGTCTCCCCAGCCCTGCAACCATTTTATACTGTTAGGTTTGGTATACATGTCAAAATTAGAAAGCATACACATAGATTAAATACACCTCATAATTAAGACCATAGGCTATGAGTATGTGGATCATCACGACTAATGCCCAACTTTAGCAGGAGGAAGAATGGCCCTTTTGGAGCAGAGAGTCCTTATCTCTCTTTGCTTCTGACTGTGAAAACCACGGTGTGTAGTGTAACTGGTGTCGGAGAAATCTCTCCTGCTCTGGCTCATTACCCAGCATCGAGGAACTCACTATCCAAATTTGGGGGCACAGAAATACAAATCAGGTTACTCTCCTCATCTCAAACAAATTAATAGGTTGAAGAAAGATGTGCCTACCTCTCGGGCACTCAGCAGGCTTTTTCTACCACAAATTTTGAATATAGGTCCTGACTGCTTCTCTGCCTAAGATTGTTTTGATTGTATTTTGCCAAGTGGTCAAAAAAAAAAAAAAAAGGAAAAGAAAGACTAGGCCCTGCTTTGAAATTTGCATTTTCAAGGAATGGTTTCATCTCTTCCTAAAGTAACATTTGATGAGAAATTAGGTATTGGAGAGATACTTATAAGCCTTTTATAAACCACAGGAAAATAGATATTCAGTGGTAATAGGAGGAAAGAAAGTGAATATTCTGTGCAGCTGCTGAAGTGATTTGCCTTCTGGCCCTGCAAATCCTCCCCGACAAAGGACTCACTGGGAGAAGAAGGTCTGTGCAGCTCACGAGGACTCTTGCAGAGATGTCACTACCTTGCCCAACGCAGTGGCCAGAGTTTGTCCCCAGTTTCTTCACTTCAGCGAGCAATGCTCCAGCACCATCCGTTGGCCAGGTGCAAATCCAGTCCGCTGCTGCTAACCTCGGAGAGGCTTCCTGACAGCTCCCTGGCACAGGCACCGAGCTCCCCGCGGGGGCACAAAGGGACCGAGCCAAAAGGAGAGCAGAAATCGAGGCTGCATTATCTTTTCAGACTATAGCTCCCATTTGCCCTTTCTTCAGCGAGTGCTTCCTCTGATTGAGGCAGCTTTTGGAAGAAGTGCCTTTCCGAGGTGATAATAAGCCAAGCACATCCTTCCTGCTCTTTGAGTCATAACTCATTCATGTGCCTGCCCTGAATGCCTTCTTTAGAGCCGAGCAACTTTTTTTCCTGGCTGTCAGAGTTCACTTGTCTTGAAATCCACAGCGCTATTTACTGCAGCAAAGCTGCACCATCTACGTGCAGCTTTCCTCTGTCATAACCCGCACAGCCTCTCTGGGCATCTCTCCATAGGCTTGCCACTAATTTCCAATCTAGAGTAGGATAAAACAAGTAAAAAGGGTGAGTTGTGGATTCACTGAAAACTAGAATGGCAGATTGAAAATGGTTTCAGCCAAGGCATGAAAAAAGGAAGAGTACCTTAGTGCCATAGGAATATTTAATTTCAATAGCTCAAAAATGAAACTTTTGGCTTTCCAGTTAGAATGACTATTTGCATGAATAATCTAAAGAAAACAACGTGGAAGAAAATTAGCATTCCAGTTGAGCTGCATACACAGGGTTACCCAAAACAAGATTTCTTCCCTTTGCTGTGTTACTAAATAACTTACAAAGCCTCTGCTTCTGTTTCATTGCCACAATCTCTCCCTCCTCTCCAAGCACGTTTCGGTTTGCCATCGAGCCAGAAACACTGGCTTTTGCCAAGGTGTACTCCGACTCCTGGCTGGGCAGCCCAGGACCCCAGCAGCCCGGCGGCGGCGGCAGAAGCGCGCACCGCCTGGCCAGGGGCTGGGGACGCTCGTCCCTCGCTCCCCTGAAAAAAAACGTCGCGGGCAGGCGGCTGCCCGGAGGTGGCAGGCGGGGAGCGCTGCCTGCACCCCAGGCTCCTGTGCCATGCCTAGGGTTTGGGGAGAGTCTCATGGAGCTCATGCCCCGGCTTTGAAAACAGGTCCCAAGTTTAACGCTCTTTCAGCCAATGTCGTGTGGGCTGCTTTGTAGCTGGAGCTGTTAGTGGGATCTTCTTGAGAACTATTCCCTCAACACGGCGTCCCTTGATCAACAGCACAGGGATGCCGTGAGTTGAACCGTCAAGGGGACCTCGGCTACCTCTTGGAGGATGGAGGGCGTACTCAAACAAGGCTGGCTCCTAAAATTTTGCAAACAGTTCTGAAAACCTGTGAATCTCTATTTCTGGGGAACATAAAACCGACAAGCGTTGCTTCGCTGAGAGTTTCTCTCTGCCGGTCTCCCTCACTCGTCTGGAGATGTTATTCTAACAGAAATGCTCAGCTGGGCAAAAAGGTTTTGTTTTCGATCAAATATAGCCCAATGTATCGTTTTGTTTTGTTTTCTCCTGCCTGTTTTTGTTTTACACAGTTTTTTTTTTCCTGTCAGAATGTCAAATCTATACATTTTCCAGAGGTCTCTCGGTGGGAGGGAGCCCAAATTACAGTCCCCCTGTAGGACCTTCTCACCACAAAGCCACGAAGCCAGGCCTAGACTTCCTCCTCTTTGCTTGGCCTGCACTTCCCTCAAAGGCCATGGAGAAGAGACATCCGGGGGCATTGCAGCAGCAGAAGAAAGGGCCTCTTTGAACGTGGGGAGTGGGCGATTCTGCACTTGGGCTATTTGTTAGCTGCTACAAAGGCTGTGAATAGCCCTCCCAGCTGTCCTGACTGGACAAGGGCCAAAGTGGGCCTCAGCAATTACAGGGCTGGTAGTGTGCACAACGCTTATTTTATATCCCGGCTATGCTGGGTACTGATACAGCACTGTACTTTCAACCTTGATGAAAGCACCATCAATTATACATCATCCCTAGGATGTCTAATTTGCCACAGTTGCGACTAGAACCAAAACCGTCAACATTTTGCCTGACTCCAAATCCGCTCTCTGAAATAAAGCTTAGTTCTTACGTTTTGGTCATGCTTCCTAGCTGATTTCACAGGCATTTGTGTTGCTCCAGCTACGTTCTGCTGTTACTGCCCTCCCAAAGAGACTTTGCAACGTCAGAAAATAATTGCAGTATTAGGCGCTTGACAGAGCAACATCTTACAGTGGGTCTACACTGGTCGAGGTGTTTATTCAACCTAATTCCCACCCTGTTATTTGCCTCGTGTAACTGTTGAATCAAATGTCACATTATAAAAATAATTCAGTTAAGTCCTTCTTTTTCCAAAAAGAAAGAAATGCATGTTTTATGAAGTACTAGCCTCCAGGATTCTTGCGAATTCAGAGCGTGATCATGTAGCTCAGACTGCACCCCACTGCCTCAGCAACAGAGACCCGCTAGCGCGCAGGTCAGTCGACTGGTGCTTTAACGAGAGCGCGCGCCCCATGGGTGGTCTAGGCTTTACTCCTATTTGTACTTTTGTGATACTTTGATACAAAAACACAAATGTTTCTTTTCTTATCATGCGCTACTTCAGATTTCAAACTTGCCTGAAAGAATCAGCACAAGGACCCCCGCGTCCTAAAATACCCGGGATCTTGCAAAGCCAAATGTATTCTTCTTTTTCTTTTTTCTTCCTTTTTTGAATGCGGTTGATTTCAAGACTAAGATTACCCTTTGGCCATTTACCAGACAGACTGTACATTGTATTCATGCTTTTCAGCATTGTTGCCCTCCTAGTATCACCATGGTATGCTGCATTAGCAATAATATTTACCATCTTGTCAGTCGGTCAGTGGCAACAGGCTTAATGAAATGGGTCATTTGTTATTCAGCACAAATCACAGTCATTGAGAAATCAAGCTGGGAGATGCTTATTTACTGAACTTTTATTATCAAAATGTGCACAGGCTTTGGGAAAAAATGTGTAAAACTTGTGAGTTTGAATAGTGAACATGAGATGGAGAAGAAAAGGGCTATTTATACTGATTCTTTTAAATGAAGTCGCTCAACTAATTTTGCCATTGTAAAAAGGATGTGAGTGTAATTTGCTTATTTGCAACTTAAGGGCCTTTTCATACTGTTAGAATAAATAAGGAATCATAGAAAGCTATGTTTTACCTTCAAATTAGTAAACTTAGATTAATTCTGTATGGATAAGACAGTGAATATAACATTACACTACTGTTGTGACTCTGTAAAGAGCGATTTGTAGGAATAGCGTTGTCAACAAATGCCACCAGAGAGGAAAATGTTTCCTTTTCTTGTAAAATGTTAACATCTAGGAAAACATATCAACAATGAAATGCTCTCTTCTCCCACCACATCCTAGTTCTTTTTTAGGCTGAATAAACACAGCATGTCTATTCAAAGGATTGTTTCCAGCTTCGAAAGTGCTGGAGGAATTCACTGAAACTTCTAGTGTTTCACCAAACAATGACCTGAGTGTGGTGGCCTTTTTGCTGGGATTTTTTGGGGGGTTTGTTTGTCGCTCTTTCCGGGGGTGGGGGGGGGAGGAGGAGATTTTTAATTTCATTTTATATTAAAGGAATGAGATCAAATGAAGTAAACAAAAACATCCAATGCCATTGAATCAAAAAATAAAAATAAAAAAGAAGAAAGAAAGAGGAAAAAAAGAACCCCACAGATGGTTTGTTAAGTACAAAAATAGAATAAAATATTCTTAGCTATCTCTTTGGACAAGATTGCTTTACCATGCTTCATAAATCTGTCCTAGATGATCCCTCTGTGTAAAAGACTCCTCAGATAATACAGTGCTACCAGATCTTCTCCAGTGCTCTGGACTCTGGCCAAAGTAGCTTTGCCAGTAGCATTCACAGCACCACAATGGCCTGATTTGTGGGCTATTTTAATTTAAAGCATCTGTGAGGCTTCTTTTAGTTCTGCTTGGACTAACTGTAGGGTTAGAGAAATGTCACAATAACTTGTACCACTGGAAGAACCCCTGGACATCACCCCAAAATGCTCCTTTACCCCTTCTCAGAGATTTATGTTGTTGGTCAAACTTCCCCATGGCTAACGCAGTGGCCGGCCGTGCTCCCACCTGGCTTTTGGGACATCTCACGCTCCCTGACAAACTTTCTCACCAGCGCTGCTGCCCACTGAGGTGCTGTGCACCTGCAGGCGCTGGGAGGGGACAGGAGCAAAGCTGTGCTCTGATAGGGGCTGGAGGGGAGCAAGGAGGAAAACCCCTCCAAGGAAGAGGTCCTCATGCCCAGCAAGACCACAGCGACTGGGAAGCAGGCAGTTAATGAGGGAAGGCAGTCACAGGTCTCTCACACACTCTCAAACCAATGATGCCTTGCCTGAGGCTTAATCATAATATATGGTGATATCCCAGTTCTTCATGAGTTGTGAAAGATTAATGGTACCATCACTCCTTAGTGTTTCTCACCTCCAGCCCTTTTCTTTACCAGTTCGCACCAAAGTCATTATTGCCCTCCCCAGGTTCCTGCTGGTCCCTCCTGCTCCTGACGTTTCCTCACCTTGCACGCTTGCAGCAGGGCTACTGCTTGCCAGGGGAGAAAAAGCAGGGGTTGCCCTGCATGCTGTTGGATGACCTGGGCTTGCACCAGTCTGGTTTTGCCACCTGACCGTTGAGAGCTGTCCTTTTATTAAAATCTTTTTCCTAGAAGCTGTTTCCACGGGTACATCTTGAATGTGCAAATTTTGCATCATGTGAAAATGTGCTTCTGAATACATCCTCATGCTTCCAGTGATTATCAATTTGCAGCATGCTGTAGGCTACAAATCCCATGCAAATAGCTTCCAGAATTCAGCTTCAGTGAAAACGGAGAGCTCTTGAACAATTAGGGCTCTCCAAAAGAAAGAAAATGAAAATCATTACTGATCTTTTTTTTTCTTGCATGGCTATGTTTGAGGATGGTGATACAGAGAGGGCATGGGGAGGGAGGGAACTTTATTATTTCTTGAATTAAAGAGAGAGAGGAACTATGAGTTTAGCTAAATCATCTGCAAGTGAAATGCTGCATTGCTCGCTTGTTAGTATGAATGTGTTGCATGATAGCTCTTCGCTGTACGCTGTGTAGCATAAGGAGTTGCTAGGTTACACAGAGCATCAGGAATTCAGGGAACAATGTACTTATATCTTTTTCAATTTTGAAAAATAAAATAGGTATTGACATAAAATACAGTGTGGCACTGAAGTAATTTTGTAGTGGAGAGATCAGAGGAAGGGGGCCTTTCATCTCGGTGACAGCAGTTTACTCCTTGTTGTGACTTAGCGAGGGCACCGGCGGGACAGCACGCCGGGATGTCAGCCGGCGGGAGGATGCTTGCAGCTCCTGTACCCCAGCAACTCTTTCTCGAGTCCAGCTCTCCGAAGCCATTGAGCAGCTGCTGTTCAGAGCCATGTCAACTGGTCCTACAGAAACGCCTGACAGCTCCAATGATGTATGGGCCCGGAACGGAAAAAAACAACCCTTTCATGTTAAAAACAAATCTGACAGGTCTAGTGGAGGCTCTTGGCCTACTGGTGTTGTGCCTTGAGCTTTATTATTGTTGTTGTTATTATCATCGTTCTCCTGTTCATAGATAATGTCATAATTTACAGTCGGGCATTGTGTGCACCGAATGATTGATGTCACTTGGGCATGAATAACCCTTTCTATAGGATTAATAATGGATCTTCAGTGAGAAACAGCCGGGGCAGGGGGGAGAGAGTGGGGGAATTCACTCATAAAGGCAGACTTCCTTGGATATTCTGCTCAAGATGATAAGATGAAGTTCCTCAAACCTGAGCATTGTGCTCCTGTTATCCTAAAAAAATCACTAGGTATGGGAGAAATACAAATGTATTCATAAAACCAACAACGAAACCAAATGCCATGTTCCTTTTTCTCAGACCTAGGGTATAGGTACAAAAGAGCACGTCTTCTTTTTTGGGTTTGGTGGAAGGATTATATTGACCAATCTTTGCAAGTGAGAGCACTCTCTGACATTTATACTGACGGCGGAAAGCCTTACCTGCTAGTCTTCTCTAGCTCTGGAAAGTAAAAGAACATTAAGAACATTATTAATGAGCACTATGTTCCACTAATAGGTTAGGTTCTGACACAGGCTCCGTGACTGTACAAAATGGACTGCATTTTTAATGTTAGAGATACATCACTTCTCAGAAAAATGTAAGGATAGTTCGGCTGGATATTCAGCTAGCTATGATTCTTTAAGGATCAGAGACGGGAGGCTGAAAGGTATCATCTTTCTGATATTATTTGAAAGAAAACCAACAACCACGTTTCTATGTTAAGAGTATCAGTAAACTGCAATGTTTCTTAAAATAAACAGACTACCATACAAAGCACAGACTCTTTTTACCTTTCTATGTAGTGTTGCTTGCTTGTCCTTCAGCAGCCCCACCAGCACTCCTGTGTTTGGTGCCCATGGAGGCGAAAGCAGGCCTCTTGCAGTACTACCACAGTTAACCCTGGCTCCAACATCTCATTACCGATTCAGCAGCGCAGCTCACACCATGATGGCTGAGTTATAGAAAGGGCTCGTTTTATTGTTGATACTTTTCACATCCATCTTTTCAAATTGTCAGCGGATTTTATATTCTGTAAAAATGAATACGAATAAAGGTTGCATTTTTGTTGATGGATTCTGAAGACATCATAAATTATAAAGGCAAGCCCTGAATGGTTTGCAAAACCCACCAGAACCCAAGAGTAAAATTACGTTTCATAATCAGTAGAGAATGAATTTCAAAGTGACCATGAATTCGGCTTGCTTTATTGGATCTCTAAGACTGTGGGCGCTTCTACAAATATTACCTGAATTGTCAAAACTTGTTGAATTCCCCAAAAGAGATCTGAATCTACTTACAAAACAGGATTCTTCATAGTTATAAGTTTTAAAATTTGGGGCTGTAAGAATCTCAGGATATCCTGTGAGCCACACTGCCTCTCTAAAGGCAGCACGAACTGCATCTGTTTCTTTCCTGATACATTTTCATAACTTGCTCCTAAAAACCGCTAATGCTTGCTCTTTCAGAGCTTCCCAAGACAAAACACAGATTCTAGTGCTTAACTCTCCCTACCGTTCATTAGCTTTTCCTGATGTTTAACCTCAGTTGCCTTCATTGTAATATGAACTCATAATTCCCATCTATTTTACAAGAGACAGAAAGGAGAGCTTATTCCTTTCTTTTTTCTAGCTGTTCTTGGCATATTTGGAGAAGGTTATCAGTTTCCTCTCAGTCATCTCTTCACTAAACTAAGCTAATCCTCAATTCCTCCTACCTTTCCTCCTAGCTCATGCTTTCCACAACAGACCACCTTCATTGCCATCCTCTGGGTTCCCCCCACCCTCTCTCTCCCATACAACTTTGGTTACTTACTGTTTCCAGCCAACCTTTAAACACTACTACCAGGTCCTCAACTGAAGAAAATCATTGCTGCTATACAAATGAAGTTAAGCTGACTTAAGTCAATAGTTACAACTCTACTGGTATCATCTCCAAAGTGGGTGCAAAGATATATATGCTTGACAAGTACGGGATAAGAAACCACTAACAACTGCTATTTCAGAGCTTCCCTGTTGAAATATAGGGATAAGAAAGCACTGCAAAAGCAGGTATTGCTACTCTTTTTGTCTTCTGTTGCGAGTCATCACCATCATACTTCATCTCCATAAGACTGAACCCAAGTAAGGATTATAAGATTACAATTGAAAAATTGAAACATAAAAAAAATTATTGAAAAATGAAAACAAAAATAAATCTTGATACACAGGCTTTACTTGTATTATATTTACTTAGCGTTTTATTTCTTAACTCACACATAGTGCTATATACAGCGATATTGGCCATACTCATTCATATTAGACAAGACGATCCTTTTGCCTTATGCCCCTTTTCCCCTGTGAATGTCAGACACCCGTCAGCTCTGTTACTGAGCGGAACAGGCTGTTTAGATAATTAGGGATGGGCAGTAAGAATTTAAAAATTGGCTCCAAAACATCCTGAAGCAGTGGTTGTCTTGATGCATAGGAAGAGCTATACTCTACATCTAGATCCTTAAACTGCTGCTGGCTCGCTGGCACAAGACGGCAGTAGATCCAGAGCTGTGACTGCGGGCCTGCCTTCCTCGCTGCAGAGCATGTTCTCTTGATTTCTTTATAACTCTTTTAATTCTTTTTCTCTTTAGTCACCCCAAGGTTAAAAAAAGAAGGAAAAAAAAAGCTGTTGTTTCATAGTACAGACAAGTCCTTAGAGTCACATTCCTCTCCCACATCTTCCCCTGGAACAGCAATGCTATAAACCTTCTCTATCTCAAAGCAGAGTCCCAGTACTGGCAGTTTAGACAATTTATATCACATAATTCTGGGGCACTAACCAAAAATAGACAGACAACGAAAACATCTATTTTTTAATCCCTTAGTGTATTACTTACTGTCTATTCTCCAAGATTGGCTTAATCTTTCTATTCATCAGATAAAAGGTAATTTGAAAACATTTTCTAGAATATAGAACATCAAATTATAGCCTGGAGTACAGAAAATCAAATTATTTTTTAATTTTGAAATACTTTTATTAAGAACTCACATTATCTTCCAACATTAAATTTTCAATAAGATAGTAGAATTACAACCCCAAGTTTTAACAGAAAATGGGATTTGTGTTGCTTGATTTCTAGGGCCTTTTTTTTCTATAGTTTAAAGTGCCTTTCTACTCTGAGAAGAGCATTTGTAAAAATGGTATCATGGGGTGCATACTTTTCATCTCTCAATGACTTCCAGATCCAAATCTGATGACTTTAAAAGTAAAGAGATTTTTTTTTTAACTCCTGTTATACTCATCTGTTACGTTCCTTGTCTGCAAAGTGCTTGACTTGTTCTTTGCAAGAGAGATGTTATTCGAGGCAGCTGAAATAAAAGGATTTAATTCTCTTACAGTATGTTGACTACTCATTTTTCTGTCTTTCTATTTCCTTAAATATCCATGGTCTGCAGTGCAACTATACGAGACCGTTTAATCTCTGGCATCTGTGAAGCATTTACCACATTTGTAGCCAAGCTCCAGTACTTAATGTTCTTCTTCAAAGAAACCTTAGGCACAAGGTAGAGGATTTGTACTGTCTGAAAATTAATCAAATGCTGTGTGGTGCTTGGGAAAAAGTTTCTGAGGTGCACTCTGCAGGACAGATCCTCCCTGTGCTTTTCTGTTGTTAGACAGTGGATCACAATTTTCTTCTCCTACAAAGAAGAACAAAACTCCTACGCTAATTGTACAGGGAAGTCATCCCCTTCCTTCTACGCTCCTCACTCACCTTCTCGCTCACTCTCCTTTACGGACGCCACTATCAATGGTGGCACATTGCCACTGCCAGTTTGTGGGGGGGAAAGCTTTTTCCTTGGCCACAACTTTCTGTGATATAAGCACTAGAGAATGATCTTCCAGAAAATACTGCATTTTAGCAAGTGCAGCACATAGGTGAAAATGACCACTCATCTCCCTATAGAAGCCCACACTAGGACACGCCTGAATATGGTGTTTAATGAGAGGAGTGTAAAATGAATTCCAATTATCCTATCACAATTGTTAATGCCTCATTAACTCTATGGGCTCCAAAGCCAATTACACAAAGCTTAGGACGTGCCCTAAAATTAGGACATGCCATAATACGGATGTGCAGTGAGAGGAGTGAGAGGATAACTTTCCCTTTTCCTTCCTTAACCTGCAAATGGGCCTATCATAACTGTGAAAGTGGCATTGATACAACTGGCCCCAAAGCCAATTATACTAAGCTAAGAAAGCTTAGCTTTCTCTTCCACACAAGCCCGCAGTCACATGCCTAGATGAAGTTACACGAGGGCAGTTCCCCATCCACTGTGCTAAGCGAATACATATATTGCAGACAGAATTGATTTACGGTGACACCGCTGCAGGAGGAGAACAGAGCTGAGAGAGAAAGGAAGGATTCGTGTATCAAGACATCCTCCATCCTCCACTCCTCTGCTCTCCAGCTATCCACAACCTGCTGCCAACTTGTGCAGGATACCAGAGGTTCCCTCCAGCAATAGTAGAGCTGTACTTAGGCTGCTACCCAGAGCTAACTATAGCTGTGAAAGTAGTGACCAGATCAGCCTCTTGAACATAGAAATCTATAGTATTGGCCAATAACGCAAGAACAAAAACATGCTTCACCTTTTGGTTTCTGGTTCACAAAGAGGAAAAAAATACAGCACCTCACACAGACTACAAGCAGGTTCAAAATGGTGATTTCCAGTTTAGAAATGTGAGCATGTTTGACTTATGATTCTAAAACTTCTGCTTTCTCCCTGTAAAAGTCAACTACAAGCTTGCGTAGCAACAAAATACATGTTGTGCATGCTCATAACCATCTGAATGTAGCCTTTCTGAAGTAAACAATTATAGCACTTAGATTACTGGAATGTGTCTCACTCACTCAGTATGAGTGTCCTACAGAGAAGAGCCTAAATACTTGCATGCATCCATCTGATTATGCAAGGTGTGCATGCAGAATTTGCTCTTTCATTTCAGCTGGAAAGATGGTTTCATAAAGTTATTCATCAGTTTCTGAAGATTTCCAATCCCTTTGCTGTCAGGATTGCACACATTGTTCCTCCATTTAAGAGGCATATGTTAGCATCACAACTGAGCCAGCACTGCAGTAATACCAGATCCTGTGAAATAGGCTTAAAAAAACCCTAGAAAATGAAGGGAAAAAATATATGTAAAGATACACAGTGCAGATCTCCTGTGGTGAGTTTATTAAGTTTTTCAAAAGCAATAGAAGATACAGGATAATAGATGGCCTAACAGTGACTACAAAGCAGTAATCTATGTGAAGGGCTCTGCTCATGTCACAAACAGTGAAAGCACCGTTTCAGAGGTTTAAGCTGAGAAAGAATTCAGTTGTACAGGTCAAAACCACGGATTACATTCCCATTCTAATTACAGGAATCTACCTAATTATTTCTCAAGAAAAAAAGAAAAGAAAAGAAAAAATAAACACAACATAAAAGGAGTAGGAAGGAGGTTGTTCTGCTGTCCTTTCTACCCTTCTTATTCGCATGTCCCAACTCTGAAGCGCTTCTCAGTTAGTGTATATGAAAGAAAATCTCTAAATGATATCCTGAAGCAAATCAGAGACACTGAGTGACCCCCAGCACTCTTCAGCTTCAGGGATAGATCTACACGGCAATTGCAGGAGCAGAGCTACTCAAACCAGCTGCAAACTGGCTAGCTCGTACAGCAGCAGCAGCTGGTAGAAGAGGGCTCTGGGGGGACTCATTGACCCAGATCCTCAGGTGGGTTTTGCACCTTGTGAGCCTGAAGCTCAACACATAGCAGCATCCAAAGTAAAATCCAGGTCTCCGCACCACTACACGCTCTGTTTTGTGCTAGTCATTGCTAGAGACACAGGGCTTGAAATAAGGCAGTATGATTTGCTAATGCTGAGTGGTTTAGTAGGAAAAGGTGGGAAAGGAAGCAGTTGCACCATTGCCCTATCACAAAACGGTCACTGGAGAAAGAGTAGTTTCCCAGCTGGCATAGCCAGAGCTCTTCTGGGACTGCGCTGCCCAC